GTGGGGAGGGGGTTGAGCTGGTGGCTGGGTAGTGGGGGTGGTTGGCGGCCGACACAATGAGGTTGGTTCCGGAAGTTGTTTCCTGGCGACCTGGCAGACCCTTTGGTTTGCCCGCAACTGTATGTAAATACCCAGCTGACTCTGAGGCCGTGCAGCATCAGCTTGGCCCAATCCTGTCGGTGCCTGCGCCCCTCACCGCTTCTGAGGGTCGGTCGCCACCAGCAACGCGCCCAGGCCGGCCACCGCCGCGCCGCCGCCCAGCGCCAGGGTCACGTCCACCTCCGCCAGCTGCATCACCTCCTGGGCCGCCTGGGCAGCAGGGGCGATAAGGCTGGCCGCGGCAGCTATGCCCATAGCGATCTCGGGTCTCACGGCCTGCCGCTGCTGCTGGGCCTGGCACCGCACAGCGCGAGCCATCCGGGTGCTACCGCGTGGGCCATTGGCAATAGTGCCGGCCTTTGCAGGGCGAGTTTGCAAGCTCTGCATCTGCATCTCGCGTTGATCCCTGCAACGGGAGCGTGGTGTTCGACTGAATGAGGGGTCGTAATCCTGTCTACAGATGTTCAATTGCACATTTATGACTCGTGGCCAGCGACCAGGCCAATGGTCGACCCTTCTTGCGGCGCAGCAGCTGGGCAGTCGAGGCGCGTCTGGTCCACTTGCCAATATGCGAAGAAGACCGAGAGGATCCTGCGGAATTTCTGTGGTGTCACTTTTGAACTTTAGAAAGTGCAAGTTGCAGTTGAGTTGAATGCACTGACCCCCCTGCCCGTGACAGGCCAGGGACATCACCCACGTGTGCGCTCCTCCATGGCAGGGCGTGCACACGCGCCATCTAGAACACCCTCGCCCCACTCCTTGCAATGTGCGCCCTGAAACAGTAATGATGGAGAAGTTTTGAAGGTATGCGATCGATTTACAATTGGTGAGGTGCTGTGAGCAGTCGGGGCAGCAGCAGGGGCTGCAGCAGCGGAAGAACCACACCACAGTCAGGGGCAAGCACGGCACCACGCACCAAGTGGTAAGAGAAGGCACAAGGGTGTGTGACGAGACGTGTGCAGCAGGCAATTTCATTCAAGCTACATGTTTTCCCAGAACAACCATCGAGCGCCATTTGCTTCGGCCTGTTAGCTATGGGGCCGTGAGACTTGTCAGGAAAGGAGCCTGAGTCGGCTTGCCATTACCCTTCCTGAGTCGGCTTGCCATTACCCTTCGAGTCGATGCTCGGTCGCCGTGCCACGCAAGACCACCGTTCGCACAACTCTCCCCCACGTGGATTCCCCTCTTTGATCAGTCATCCTCGGGCTGGTCGACCCTCTCGTCTGGGTCCAAGATGCTGCGAGAGATGACCATGCCAGGGGGGGGAGGGTGGGGGGGAGTGAGGTCGCTCGAATCAGTGGCCACACCAGCACCGCCGCGGCCAGCTAGGACAAGGTCTTGAATGCGATGTGGCGAGCCCATCAGCTAACAGCACAAGGCCCTGGGCCTTGAAAGTAATCCTCTCAGATAGCCAGCTGCGTTTGGCATGCGACCAGGGCGCGTGCTCCCCTCCGCTCCCCCCGCCATAAAACGCGCCGCGGTGCATCTGGGAGCCCACCAGTCCTTGAAGCACACAAACAGCCGCGACACAGGCCCCAGCTCCCCCTGCTCCGCGAAATGGGAGGCCTGTCGGGCGGCGCAGGGGTTGCGGTTGAGCGCGGGCGTGTGACTGCGAAAGGCTCGAAAGCGCGCGGGGCAACCGCACAGCCTCCCTTTGAGGCGGCTGCGGGCGCTGGAGCGTCACTGATCATATTTGGGCACAGAGCCCGATGCCGAGCAACGCCGCAAGGCACCCAGAGTCCCACCCACCCAAGCGCCCCGAGGCTCCCGCCGCAGCAATCAGGACCTCGACCCCGCCTCACTGCATCGCCAGGAGCCGTCCAGCACCCGGGCCGCACCTTCCTCCCGGGCATCCTCTCGCGCGCCCGCATCAGCTTGACAAAGGCGTGCCCGTCCAGCTTCCCCTCCCCGTCGGCGCACACCGCGAACAGGATATCCACCACGTTGGGCGTGAGCTTCACGCCCACCAGCCGCTGAGTCAGCTTTGCAAAGTCCTGCCTCTCCACGGGGCGCCCTATCCGCTGCTCGGGGGTTGCGAAGACGCGCAGCGAGACATACAGCATCAGTGGGCTGTGGGGAAGCAAAGGCAGCGGCAGGGGCCGCCGCTCCGGCACGAGACCCATCCAGGATTTGACGCCAAGCCGACATCGACCCGCCCGCATCTGCCCATGCCGATATCCAGCAACACACGCCTGCACATGTCGCGGCATGCATGTCAGAAAAGGCACCTCCAGGGTTGAAAAAAGTTTTCAATTGTGGTTTGCCATCTGCACCCCCATCCAAGCCACCGCGTGTGCGCGCATGCGCGCGCGCGCACACACACACACACACACACACACACACACACACGCGCACGCACGCATGCATGCGGGCACCCACCCACCCACACGCACCCACCTGTGAGAACTCTATGGCGAATGCGAGGCGGTGCAGGTGGCGCCTGACATGGGCCAGCGATGAGAACTCGGCGAAGGATATGCGCGCGTCTTGCAGCTGCGGCTCCATGGCCTGCACCTGGGGGTGTTGGGTGTGGGTGCATGCGTGTGTGTGTCGGTGTGTGCGTTTGTTATATTGCATGCATGTGCGTGTTTTATGTGTTTGTTGGTTTGTTGGTTTCTTTGTTGATTTGTTCCTTTGTGCGTGTGTCTGTGTGTACGCGCGCGCGCACGCGCGCGCGCCCCCGCTCATGCGAGTGGTTGTAGGCCCGGCAGATCGCCCGCTGCCTTCTTGAAATCCCTGCTGTAATCACCCCCTGTCTTCCCAGCCCCTGCGCGCCTTGTCCAGGTAGCAGTCCGCGGACTTGATGTCGGCGGCGCCGGCGATGCTCATCCCAAAGTCCAGGCCCCTGATGTAGCCGTCGCCGTCGACGTCGTAGTGCGAGAACTCCAGCCGGGTGACGTCAGCATGCAGCTGGTGGAGGAACGCCCTGGCGGGGGGAGGGGACGGGACAGGGCGAGTTTGCTGGGAGCGGGGTGGGAGGAGGTCCAGGGGTGTATGCTTCGGAGGAGGGCGTGAGGTGGGGCGCTGATGAGGGCGTGATCCAGTGGAGAGGACCAAAATGGCCGAGCCAGGGATGCAGATGGGCGGACGGGGCGGCGCGTTTCTTGCAGGGTGGCCGGTCGCGTGCCACGGGCAGCACACAGGCGCACCGACGGGGGCGTCCGTGCCATTCGGAGCTGACTGGTCGGTGGAAAGGGGGATCATGCACAGGGTGCACGCGGCTCACTTGAAGCGCTTGAGGTCGAGGCCGCCCCTGAGGTTCTTGCCAAACAGCGCCTTGGCAATGTTGCCCGGCGCCTTGGCGCTGCGGGGCGCCGCGGCCGCGGGGCGGTGGCGCGGGTTGTCGGGCCGCCGCGTCCACAGCAACGCGGGCCATTGCCCGCATAGGCGGATGCAGCTGTTGATTTGGCTGCACATTATATCTCTTGCAAGGTACACTTGCCGCGAAATCACGCGCCGCGCCGCCCGCTGTCGTGGCGCGCCGCCCGCTGTCGTGGCGCGCACCCACTCACTCAGGCACAGGACCGCAGGCGCCGACGTTGTCATGCTTGCCGGCCCGCGAGTGGAAGCGCGCCTGCAGCCCCGCACGCCGCTCTAGCTCGGAGAGCACCTGGCGCAGGCGGCGGCGGCAGCAGCAGCAGTGGGGCCAGCGGTGCGAGCAGCGGCGGCAGCAGCGCGGCATGGCCCGGGCGGCGTGCGCGGGAGCGGCCATCGAAGTACCTGTCAAGACAAGGCCTGCGCCATCGTCGCGCGTGTGCTGGGTGCAGCAGCTCCTCATCCGTGCGGGGTTTTCCCCTCTGAGCGATGTGCTGCTGTCTGACCGCAGTAATGCAGGGCTGAGTCCCTGCACCCGACCCGGTGACGACTCCACGACCCCGACCCTGCCTGGGAGCAACACAATCCCTCTGCACGCTCCAGCGCCCAGGTGCCCACCCCCACCCCCGAGTTGCTGCCCACCACATCGAATTCGTCGATCGATATGGAGCCCGAGTCGTCAAGGTCGATCACACTGAACACCACCTGTTTGGGTGGCAGGACATGAGAGCGCGCTCAAACATGTTTGTTGTGCACGTGCACACGCGCACACGCGCACGCTCACGCGGTTTCGAGCATATGCCCAAGAGTCCAGAGGCTGCAAGATTTGCAAACAAAGCCACCCGCCCGCGCCATGACTGCGCAGCCGAAAGCGCTCTATCCCCTCCCCGCGACCTCCGCAGACCCCCGGCCCCATGCAGAAACACGAGCAAGCGCACCCGCCCGCCGGCCGGCCCAGCCTGGGCCCGACCGCAGCCCCGGCCCACACCACCCCCCCCCCCCCC